AAAAAAACGAAAGGCCCTTTTTGTTCCCTCCCCCCCCCCCCCCCCGCGACAGGGCAAGTGTTCCTTTTGTTGACCATCCACAGGCCTTTCAAAGAAAATAGTTCTTAAACAGGAAAGGGAGGGGTGGGGTGGGGGAGAGGAAAGCAAAACAAAACAACCGCCTGATGACCGATTTATACCAAGGGTTAGAAAACTCGCCAGAGAAAAACGCATGCCACAAAGGTGGCTTTTTCTCACGGTGCTATCCTGGTACGCGCTCCTCTTTTGGTTAAACCGTTGCATACGCAGCCTACACAACGGGTTTAGCTGTTAACCAGGTATCTGTCGCCACGCCTCTGTGCTACCCTGCCCCACTCCTTGACCACAAACCTAGTGCCATACAAAAGCTAATCCTATTGTATATCTCTTCTCTCTATATAAATATATATACATATACATACACTCATACATATACAAATACTAACCCACAGACAATTTTGTTTAAAACATTTGAATAGCAACAAGTCAACAGAGAAAAGGGGGGGGGGATTGAGTCGTTCTGTAACTCTGCTCCCAAAAGATCCAGTCTCGATGTCGCGATCTTCGAAACTGTCGGCCGCCGGTCGCGTCGGCCTTCCGTCACGAAAGGAGGACTCCGTCGGTAAACCGGAGGGAAGCCAAAGGTTCGTCAAGGACAGTCGTGCAGCTGGGGCTGGTGGAGTGTGGTCGCAGAGCATCCAATCCGGAGCGACTGAGGCTTAGGAGTGAGGAGCTGAAAGTGTAAAAGGTGATCTTCGGATTGGGATGTGATTCCTTTGCTTGTCGCCAGGGCAACTTGATAGACCAGCTTCGGAGGTCAGGAGTTCTTACAGACCTAAAGCGATGGGCAGTAATTTGTGGTTATTATCAAATAGTGTGTTTCGGTACATTTTATAACTATCTATCTATACATCCATCCAACTATCATCTATCTGTTATCATCTGTCTGTCTATCCATCTATCATCTATCAATCTATGTATCATCCATCTATCCATCATCTACCATCATCCATTCATCCATCCATCCATCATCTATCATAATTATTATCTATCTATCTATCTATCTATCTATCTATCTATCTATCTATCTATCTATCGTCTGTCTGTCTGTCTGTCTGTCTAATTTGAAATGTGGTGTTGGGGAGGAGAGCTTTACAGATACCGTGGACCACCAAAAAGACGAATAAGTGAGTTCTAGATCAAATCAATCCTTAACTCTCCGTAGAAGCTAAAGTGACTCAACTGAGGCTATTGTACTTTGGTCACATTGTGAGAAGGCAAGAGTGACTGGAAAAGACAATAATGCTAGGAAAAGTGGAAGGCAGCAGGAAAAGAGGAAAGACCCAACATGGGAAGGATGGACTCAGTCAAGGGAGCCATAAAGGCCCTCAGTCTGCAAGGTCTGAACAAGGCTGTTACTGAGAGGATGTTTTGGAGGACATTAATTCACAGCGTTGCCATAAGTTGGAAGCAACTTGACAGCATTTCACACACAACACAACACACACAAAGCAAGCAAACTATTTCTTCAGTGCAGAAGTGTCACAATTAATCCCATCACACATGATGAAGCCATTCCTGTGAAATCATCCTTGTTCTACAGTAATGCAGAAGTGTCACAAGTAAACCGCGATTAATCCCATCGCACATGATGAAGCCGTTCCTGTGAAATCATCCTTGTTCTACAGTATTGCCCCAGCACAGTTTGATCCGCGATTATGCAATCAGACGCTGGCAGCACAGCACGGGTACCGGAGGAGAATGCCGCGCGCCGGCACGATCACACCATGGGCGTCTGGAGGCAGCCCGTGGCAAACGTTTTAAATACGCATTGTCGGCGGTAAGCCACGGGTGCGCTCCACTTCCCAGATGTTGGGGTGTGATCTCGCTCGGATAATCCGCCCACCTTCCGTGCCTCTCCCGCGGCAACTTTGCCGTGTGACCGGGGCCAGTAATTATTTATGAAGGCTTCAGGAAGACTAAGGATCAAAACCCTGCAAGTGGTCGATTGTCAGAAACCCAGTCCCAGAACTTGAGGTGAGAGGGAAAGCAAGGATGGAAAAATAAACTTTTCAAAAAAGGTAGATCAAGATGGGTGGCCGTGTGAGTCTGTCTGTAGCAGCAGAAAAGAGGAAGAGTCCCGTAGCACCTTAGAGACTTACAAAATTTGTGGCAGCAGGGGGTGAGCGTTCTGAAGAAGTGAGCAGTGACTCATGAAAGCTCATACCAGTTCCACAACTGGGGAGTCTCAGCTTACTTCCCACAATTAGAAAAGATGCCGTTACACATTTATCCCCCATTTTGACATATTTATTATTTTGCTTTCCTTTCCCTCCCTTCATTAAATCAAAACAACTGTTGACCTTATAACCTTAGCTTGTTATTTAGTTTTGTCCAGGGGTCATTTCCTGCAGGAGCGCACAGGAGCGGCACTCCGGCAGTAAAGAGCCAAGGGGGCGGGCACATGCAGCAAGCCCCACCCCCTGCTCCCAGCAACCAATCTGGGAGGGATGCTGCTGTCAGGTCACCTTCCCTCACCCACCCCCACCCCCACTCCAAATCTGCTGGGAGTCGCCGCTCGCCATGGCCCCCCCATGCGCCCTGCCCCGTAGTCTGGTCCCATCCCCTTCCTCCTCCCTGGCTCCTGTGGCTGCCCTCCATAGCAGGGCACCATGGAAAGGGTGAGCCCGTGGGGAGGGAGAGAGAGAGCACCTGTCCAGAGGCCTGCAGCCACCCCCCACCTTTCCCTGGCCAAAATTTCTGTTTTAAAAAAAGAGAAGTAGCTTTAAAGTGGAGTTTTGGAGGGGAAAAAGGGAAGAGAGTAGGTGCATCACAACCATTTCCTCGCTTGCCAGTTCTCCCTTAATTTTTTTTCCTCCCTGCAGTTTTTTCTACATATGTGCTAGGTCAAAAAGTACAGAAATATGCAGTTTAAAGTGTGTGTGTGTGTGTGGGGGGGGAAGGTGCATAAAGTGCTAACTGGAGTAGAGAAACGGCAGAGATAGTGACAAAATGACTAACCACTCCTTTCCCATTCAAAATCTCCCCCCAAACACACACACCAAGAATTTGCTGTTCTTCAAATTGGCCCCAGAGTAGCAGGAGTGTTCAGGGACTGGAATGAGAGACCACGGAGTGGAATGACAGCCCCTGGGGGTAGCGGATGTGTTCTGTGACTAGAATGAAAGACAACGGAGTGGAATGACAGCCCCTGGGGGGAGCAGGACTGTTCT